CCCAGTTTAGTATCATCAGCAAACTTGCTGAGGGTGCACTCTGTCCCTTCCTCCAGGTCATCGATGAATATATTGAACAAGACTGGACCCAGGACTGACCCCTGGGGGACACCACTAGCCACAGGCCTCCAACTTGACTCTGCGCCATTCACCACAACCCTCTGAGCTCGGCCATCCAGCCAGTTCTCAATCCACCTCACTGTCCACTCATCTAGCCCACACTTCCTGAGCTTACCTACGAGGATGTGATGGGAGACAGTGTCAAAGAGCTAAGATTTATGAGCTAAGATTTTGGTTTTACTGTTACACTGGAAGAGTTCAAAGGAAGCAATTTGTTCAGTAGCTTAATGCATTTAGGAACCAAGGTGCAGCACATTCGCTGGCAGAAAAAGCACCTCAGCCCCCACCCCTTTGAAACACAAAGAAAGTAAATAAAAGGAGAAGAAGTGAGCACCCAAGGTAGCAAAAGCTTATTAGTGAAAGGGCAGGAGAAATCGATCATTTTGACCTGTGCAGCAGCTGAGGATGGGGAAGCAGAAAAACCCTGGAGACATTATAGAGCGCCAGCAAGCCTGAGCTATCTTCTTTGTTTGTTGCTAATGAGCCATGGTACCTTTTAATAATATATAAACCATGTAAAAGGACCTGATGGGAAGCCCAAAGAAGTCAGTTGAAAGCCTTCCTCCCTAGATCAAGGTCAGAAAATACCAAAATGCAAAATTTCAGCAAAATTGCTGGGGTTCCTAGAGGGTTTTCCTGATGCTGAAGCATCATTTCCAGGCACTGACATTGTCCTCCTAGAGGGTATGTCCAAAGCCAAGAGTCTTGGAGGTATCACAAGGGCAGCCCTAGATGACTTGTGTCTCTGGTGCTCTTACCAAGAGATCCCAGGGCTTCTACCTGTAGGTGAAGCCCTCAAGGCACTCTAGGATTCCTGGTTTTCACTGCCACAGTTCCCGGGCTTCCAGCCACAGCATTTGCAAACCTGAGGACACAGGTTCCCACTAGTCTTGATGTCCAGCCCCCAGGCTGAGAGCCTGGAGGCCCTGAAACTTCAGGTTGACCCCAGGCACCGAAAACTTTCCTGATGCAGGACCAACACTTGCTGAGGTGATCTCATCTCCCGGCTTGTGTGGCTCTCAGAAAGACCTCACGGCAGCAGTTAAGTGGGAGGCAAGGAATGTGGAAGCCCTTGCAGTGAACAAATGAAATGGGCAATCCTGGTAATTTTGCCCCTATCACGAGCTGTTATTAGCGGCAGAGAAGCGGCCAAGGCTGTCACTTTCATTGAAGAGCCGGAAATCACACACACGCACGCACACAATAGTGCTTTAGTTTTGGACTCACCACAGTTCTTTGTAATGTTTTCACGGGATTTCACGCTTGTGGTAATTTTTAAAGGAAAAATAAAAGATTTGGGTCTGGTTCAGATCAACATCGACTTAAAAACAAAAACCAAAACATCTGCAGCCTGGAAACTCCACCTTTTGACCACTCTGGCTTCTATTGATCACAGCGGGCTTTCACAGATGCTGTTACATGTTCAGCAAGGCTTCACACGAGTCTAGAACAAAAAAAAGAAACTTCACCCCCAACTGATATGCAGCTGTGTTTCCAATGGAAAACTTGAATTGGTCCAGCTACAGGAATGCAAAAGCACACTCTAGGACCTAGGAATGAAGAGTAACGGGGCATCAGTTCAGAGTCAGGCAGCAACGCAGTGCACTAGGGACAAAGAAGAACTGAAAGTGCCACAGACACTATTGTGATGAGCCCCTACCGAAAGTGCAAGCTGGATGGTAAGACTGGAGAGTCCACATCTCGGGGCAAGTTCCCTGGAGCAGCTGCTCTGTTTCCCTTTGCCATGACTGATACAGCAGCATCTTCATCGCTGGTTAGGGAAGTCACAGTACCAAGTCATGAACGCAAACGAAGGAACGCAACTTTGCAGACCGCGCTTGCCCAGCAGCTCTGCAGTGTTCCCACCCCGATAACCCCTTTACCCCAGCGCCCCATCCCTCCTCTCCCCCCCGCCGCAGCGTCCTTCCCTCTGACCTTCACAGGTGCAGGCGTGCCCTGGCCCTGTCCAGAAACGTAACTTAGGCCATCCCTTGAATGGGTTATTTCTCCCTTGCTGCTCTTCGAGGGCTTCGTGCGGCACGGCCACGGCAACGCTTCAGGTTTCCCGCCGTGCGCAGGGCTGTCCGGTGGGGCCCACACGGCCCCGACGACACCGTTTCTCTGCTTTTTCACCCTTTCCCCCATTTCCTGACGCTCCTTTTCGCTTCCCTTGTACCTCCCCTCTCTCCCAAACAACTCAGATGCCCCCGACTCACTTTTCCCCAATTTTGCTACCTGGCTACCCAAATGTGGTGTTTCTGTTACCGCTACCGAGACCATCCCGGCCTTTTGGGGGATCAGGGACGCGGTCAGGGGATCGTGTCAGCCCCCCGCGACAGGGCGGGCGCGGGGCCCCCTGCGGCCTTCAACGCTCCTCAGCGGCCTCTGAGGAGGCTGCGCCCGCAGGCCTCGGCCAAGCTTCGCATCTAAAGGCGGGGCAAGCCTGATTGCGTTATTTAAACCCATTTTCTCAGCGGGCACGGGGATTAGGGGGGCTTGTTCCTCCGCGGGGAAGAGCCGTTTGA